TCCCTCCCTCCCTCCCCGCTCCTACTGGTCGGCTTGGGCGTCGGTGTGGTGGTGGGCGGGGGCGTGGTGGTGGTGGGCGGGGGCGTGGTGGTGGTGGGCGGGGGCGTCGTGGTGGTGGGCGGGGGCGTCGGGCAGTCGTGGGGCGGGCATCTCCTCTGAGGCAGCTCCTGTGCCGCCGCCAAGGCGAGCAGGCCGATAAGGGCAAGGGCGAAGAGGGTCCTCATCCTGATGACGATGCTGGCAGACAGGGGGGAGTGCCTCACCAGCGACGGGGAGCAGAAGTGGGAACGGAAGAGGTATTTGAAGAATAACCGAGGAATGACCGAGAATCCCGGGACTCCGTACGCTGTTAACGTAAAACCGTTGGCGGGCGTTAACGTGAACTGCCTTGCGAGCTTTTGCGAAACGGTGAGCGTTGCGGCTTGCGGGTGCTGGAAAGGCATTGAAAATCGGCCATGAATGCATATCTGCGTCATGCACGTGTCATTGCCGGCATATGCACTGCTGCTACGATCCGTACGCGTCACTCAAGTCTTGAAAATCCCCCTGTCTGTCTGCCACATGCACGCCTCTCTCTCTCTCCACCTCTCCGGTAGCCAGGCAGGCGGCTTCCCGCACCACACGCATTTGCAGTGGGAAGCGCCGCGAGTACGTATACACTCATCCACACACACACACACATACACAGAGAGAGTGCCACCACCAGCCGTCCTTGCCACCAAAAAGTCCCCCGCGTCCGTCATCACACTGGAGAAACACCAAGACCAACACCTACACCCACAGGTGTGCATCCTTCCCTCTCTCTCTCTCTGTGTGTGTGTGGCTCTCTGCGCGCGTCACTGATCGTGCTGTGCTACGATACGCAGGTAAAGATTCATCGATCCATTCATTGAGGAGGGATTAAAATGACCATCCACCACATAATGCACCCACAAGATAGATCGGCCAACCAAGCATCAGCACCGCACCGTACCTTAAAAGCCTTCACGAAGCGCAGCTCTCACACGTGCAGAGAGGGGGAGGGCAAGGCAGCCAGCCCCTTTAAACCAAACAAGACGCACGCACACAAGGCTGCCTGCCCGTTTTCCCATCCGTCCACATCTCTCTCTCTGTCTGTCTGTCTGTCTGTCTGTCTGGCATCTACAATCGGGCAACGTACAAAAGATAAAGACGTGTGGGAGGGAGAGAGCACAGACACACAGACAGGCAGGCAGACAGAGAAACAAACATAAAGCGGGGAGGTACGCATGTCCGTGCAGGAGAGAGAGTCCGATTAAAAGCAGCTACCAACCAACCATTCTACCATTCTGTAGAGCCCGATCCACCCAACCATCACACATACACACCACACCCCTGCCACCCACACGCAGAAAAATGCCATCCCACGACGCAGCTAAATACACACATACACACATCTACGTACACGTCCAGCCGTGTCAGCCCGACCCGATGCGTCTGTCCTTTTAGGCATCCTGACGCACCACTCAGTCAGCCAATGCAGCAGTGCCCCCCCCCCCC